AATCCTCTGAGATTTTTTTCCAAAATCAATAGTTCTTTAGATTAATCGGTATTTAATAGAACCGAAAAATTATATTTATCTCCCTTTTTTGCTAAATTTTTATCATTGATAAGTATTCATTTAATCAGAATGAATTTTTCATGCATTAACATGATTTATTTCTGTAAAATTAAGACAATTCTATAATTTAGTAAAGATGGTTTACTCCAATTGTTGAATGAACTCCAAAAATAAGGAAATAATTTTATGTAAAATTGACGAATCATTGATTAAAAATAAATAAATGGGATAAAATATCCATGAATGATATTTTTTTGTGTCACCCTTTTGGGATAATGAAATGTTTTTATGAGGTAAAGATTGATAAAAATTAAAGATGTTGATTTGATGGAAATGAAGTTTTTTTTTCTGGACGAAGCCTTCCATTCCATCAGATCGTGTTCATTCCAATTCTCTCATAGATTTCATGTCCAATATCTCGTGGGAACTTCACCTCAATGTACTGATATTCGTCCCCCAATATTCCCTCCCATTTTTTTTCATTTATTACTATTTTTCCCCTCTAATTTTTCCGACGGACGAGTGACGTAACTTGTGTTGCAAGTATTTTGCGCACAACTTTTCTTTCACCCAGGATTTTATGGGAGAATAATACTCCATGGAAAGAGGTAGGGAGCAACAAGAAATTTACGAGGGGAAAAGACATTTTCGAATGCTGACGTGTTTTCACGTACTAAAGGTAATGTAATGTCCTCTCATCCCTAATTTTTTTTTCGATATTCACGTAGCCATTCATTCGTTTGCATACGATTCTTTTCTCATTCCAGTAATGGGCATGACACGATGAATCTAATCCGATGAATCTCTCTGATTCATATGGAGAAAATTTTATGGGAAAATTTATTCATGTTATTTGGGCTTTCGCAATCGTGTCGCTCTCACCCCTTTTTTTCGCCAATTCCAGTAATAGATGCCATTAGTCAAGAGCTTTAGAAAGAAAATTAAATTTCGGAGATGGAATACTCTACTAAGGAAAATCATAATTTACCTAAATTAATTCAATTTGTTAAGAAGTATTTTTTGTCTTCATGCCATTCATGGGTGTTTCAAATTTATTTTCAGTGAAACGTAAATATTACAAGAATTTTCAATAAACGTAGATTTCGAAATGTAATAATTACTATTAATATTCACAGTTGTAATTATTGTTTCACAAAACTTTGTTAAATTTCAAAGGATCTTGAATATAATTAAAAATGTTGTAAGGTGTAGTAGAATTTGCATAGTTCGAGGTAAAAATTCATCTCGAAATCCTATTTTTATTTTGAAAGTTCCAGATCTTTCCAGTCTTACTACATTTTCACCGAACAACCGCAAGTTGAAAATGTCTCCCAAGCGTTTATCTTATAAACGAATTCGTTGTTCATTTTAATAAAATGAAAAATCTGAAGATGCGAAAGATCTTCACCCACTAAATAGCTATTTTACTAATTTTTCTAATATCCGGAGGAGTTCTGCAAATTTCTGAAAGATCTACGAATGACTTCGCATTTAGCGCGACGGACTTTCGCAATTACTGAAATAGGGGGTAAATTTAAGAAAAACTTTATCTTATTGGATTTGGTTGATATCGAAGATGGTATATAGAGGAGTCCCTCAGTGGACGAGTGAAAGTGTACATTAGAAAATACACGATGGATTCCTTCGATCCAAACAATTTGTCGTAACTACGCTGTGTGCAATGCACATATACATGTGTATGAATCCCCTTGAGGGCCTCACTAGAGGCCAATTATATTTTTATCTTGAGATATCATCGAACGTTGATTGCACACGACTCCTAAGAAACATGATATTACATTATAAATTATGCTTTTTGCTGGATTTTTTCTTTGAGGTTTTTATGATTGTTATTTTTTTATGCAATAAATGCCAGCTGGATTTGGCGAGGCGCTGATGATTATTTCATTGGCTCAACAGGGCTTCAACAGAATTCAACGATTGATTGCATCCGGCATAATGAAATGATTGATAATTCCCCCATTCGATTGAGAGATTTGATTGGGAATTTATCGCATCATTTACAGCTATTTCAGGCAATTTCGGAATTTTTTCTCTGGCTCTGCACTTATCCCTCAATTCCATTCGCTTTCACTAAATATTTTAAGAGATTTTCAAAACTCCATCAATTATTCATTAACTCTGTTTATTGTCGAGCTGTCTCTCATTTTTTGGCCAAAGTGGCATTCTAGGAAAAATAGACGGAAATTTTTTATGTTTTGAAATTGTTTTAAATAAAGATAGCGTGAAGAACTGGACAATTTGTTATTGTTTTCCAGAAATTACCTTTTATTAATCTGATAAAACTCCAATATTTTGTCAAAATTCTTGGCATAAATATTCTCGGATTATAAAAAAATTCAAACATTTATCGGAATTAATGCAACATAATATAATATAATATAATTTAAGTTTTATAATTGCAATAGAATCAAGTGAATGATAATACTGACGAGTTTATTTTTATGTATAAAGTTAATGTATTGATGTTATTATTTTATATTATTGTAATGGAGGTAATAATGAGATTAAGGGTGATATGTAGTTTGCAAGGAATAATCTGGAGTGCCAAAAAATGAGGGGCAAATAGTGATAATTAAAGCGATTTTTCTTCAGTGTTTTTGCGAAGAATTGTGGGGTGCTGTTGAAATATAACGAAATATTGAATTTCGCTTGTTGCATGGAGAACATTCCATAGGCAACTGACCGAGGAGAACTCTCTGGCGCAACCACTTCTTCAATCTGAATTCTTTAACGCCTAGTGCTGGAAACTGTCGCAATAGTTAAACCATTGCCTGTGATTTACCGAAATTCTTCGAATAACATTCATTGTGCATGTGAAAATAATTGATATTGACGGACAAGATGGACAATTTAATCAGTAGGAATTTTTTCAATTGAACTGTTCTCCTGCATTTATATCGCTTGATGGATTTCACAATATGAGTTCATTCACCACTTAACAAATTCATTGTCAATTTATTTGTGCAAATTAATTCATCGATAATAATGAATATTTCGAAAACAACGATTAGCAAGTTAAATTGAGAAGTGATTAGAATACCCTCTGTTTCTATATGATATCGGCGCATTTGCATAATTATTATTTCAAATCGGCAGATTGGATAATTGGAGTCATAACAAGTGCACAGAGCAGCTGGGGTATCTCATGTTGCCTCCAAAAGGTTATTATGTGTTTTCAAATGCTATCTCGTGATTGAGTTATTTGCTGAATTTTTATTTATTTCTGGAATTGTTAAATATTGATATCAAATATTCCACCGGTGAGGGTCAATGAATCGCCGAAGGAAACGTTAATTATGCAAAATTTTCAACTGTTCTTTCTCTTAAAGAATTGTGGGTAAAAATTCCTATGAGAAATTCCTTCGAATTTTTGCCTCCAAATTTTTTTTTCAATCACAAAAAAATATGTGCAAGAAGAAGAAATATTGATATTATTGTTTTCATCGTAATAAAAATATTTGGAGAATATTTCTCCGGTTGGTATACATAGAGTGTAATTTTTCGTCATTCCCGATATATTTTTTATGAAAAAAAAAAAACAAACTGGTTTATAAATGAGAGGCCTTGGACTTTTTTGACATTTTGAGTATTTGCGGGACAAACGAACGATAAATTTTGTATTATCACCCAGTAAAAAATAGTTTGATAATATTCGCGGCAATCACAAACACTTGTCCTGGATTTAAGGAGGTTCCCGAGGAGCAGTAGTGCTCAACCTAGAGTAAGATCCCTCCCGCGAAAATACCCATCAGTTACACAAGAATTAGTTGACGCTCAGTGCGCTCATTGGTTCCGCCCCATGTGCGCAGAAGTGAAAAAATGATCTGGCAACATCTCATCTCATATTGCCAATCTCAACACAATCTCATCGCAACCACACCACTATACGATGACAGTAGTTCAAACCGTTCGCGTCATGTGACGTTGCCAAGTCGCCACGTTCTTTCAGTGAGGGAAATTGGAAACGACCAAAAGTTGATATCTTTTAACGTAGATAAAAAAACAAATACCGCTTGTTATATTTTTTTTTACAGAAAAATATTAGTCATATCTTCAAGTAATGATTTACACTTAAAAAAAAACACACAAGAACATTACCACTGTAAGAGAATAAAACGTGCGGATTCAGGTTGCTCAGTGTCTCTACGTTAAACATGCCAACTTCAACTGGCTGAATCTATTAATTAATCCTTCTCTGCGCGAAGGATTAAAATTTTTACCACTCCTTAAGGATGGCAATGACGAAATTTATTCCATTTTTTAAGGAGATGGTCCTTAAATAGATATCGCCGGCTTCAGGATCAATTCACGTTGTATTAGACACATGAAATTCTCGATAATATACTATTTCCTCGGCATAAGCTGCTGGAGAGCAGGGTGATTTTTCCATTTTGTTGGTTTGAGACGGAAATGACGAATAAACTTTGCCTTTCTATCTTTGCTTAATTGCTCGATTAAGGAATCCCTAAAGCCTTGATTAATGAATCCTCTGTGGGCGTATAAAGAAACATCGTGCAAAGCAGGGATTTTTCTTTATTTCTATTCTATTGTTACTATCAAAAGAAACTTCCACTCTCTACTCTTTTTTTTTAATGAACAATCAAAAAGAATAAATAATAAATAATAAAAACACCAATAAAAATCTTAATCGTCAATTTTTCTGTATGAATTCTTTAATTTCGAATTTAAATTATTGTGTCACTCAACTCAAATCACCATAATTATATATATTATCAAATAGTTAATGAATTTAATTCAAGAAACCTATGCTGCATCTGCATTATCAATCAAAAAATGGAACATTATTTCGTTATTTTATCGTTTACCATTAATAAAAATGAAAAGTTGATGTAATTTTAACTGCACTGATATCTGAAAGGAAAGGAAAGGTGCGGAAAATAAAATAAATCGAGTAATTAGAAGGTTCGAAATCTGGGGTGTACATTATTTTTATTTTACGCATATTTCTTATAACATGATTTGTTGTTTGTTTATACATTTTGGAATATATATTAATGGGCAAGTCATCGAGGAATAAAAAAAATTAACCAGATCAACGCCCATTAGATGCATTCAATTACCATTCCTCTTATTATTAAACTTTCAAAATAGACAGGTCTCTTCCTCGTGCATGCTCAACTCTCTTGTTCCGTTCGCACACTCTCTCTCTCTCGTACATACGCAGATAATTTATCCACGTTTATTTATTCATTTAAAAATGTTCTTTATCATCTTAATGTACAAACGGGTTATGATTTAATATTAATATTACAAATAATAATTAATATTACAATTAAAACCATCAGTTGTTAATGAAACAATTATCGTTTTACAATTTTTAATATTTCATTTTTTTTTCTTTTTCAGTTTTTTTTTGTTTTCAGTATTTCTCACGTCCGTGTGACTACTTCCACTGCAGCGGTGTTATTTATTCTTATTGTTTCATTTTTTTCCCACGTGTTTATTTTCATTTGTGTCTGCATTTGTGTTAAAAACGTGTATCCCTGTTGTGTACATGTCAAGTATTTTCATTTTCTCGTTCCCGCTCGCCTTCACCCCCTCTCCCTCTCATTCGTTGAATTATTAGTTCATAAATTCGCGTGCGACATCGAGTTCTAGTGCCATTGTAACATTTTCAAACCAAATAAAAAGAAAAAAACAAAAAAGAAGAACGACCGATTAATAAAAAAAGAACGAAAAATAAACAGAGACAGAAATTCTTATGTTTTCAATTCTTTACACATTACTCTCTATTAATTACACTTGAAAGAATAGTCTACATAAGAAAACAGAATAATTGCAGTCTCACGTTGAATTAAAAAATGAGAAAATATATTGACAATTGAAAATAATACATGATTTGTTTCTTAAGTATTAGTACAGGAGAGCCTCACGTGAACTACAGATAATGAGCGACGCTGCCGTTTATTTATGCCTCGGTTTTACGTCTTTCCTCCCTCGATACATTTTAAATAATCTCACTATGTTCCCTGTGTTTATCACTCTGTAATTCAAAGCATTTTTGATTCTTTTGATTTATTGATTTTTTCTTTCGGACGGAGCGTTGCCCAGAAATGTACATGTAATTATGTAAAAATTAGTAGCCCTAATTGGAACGCGAGGTTCTCACTCGTGGCCCCCTCGTGCAGGCAACGAACCTTCAAAATTTTATAAATTTTTCTAAATTCATCAAACTTTCAAACAAAGAAAATAAGCAGGTTTCTGTGTTGTCAAGTCTTGAATGTTACCTCTCAGTCAATTTGTATTTTAGTTCTTAACAATTGGTATTTGGCATCTAAGTTTCGTATGGCAAGAGGGAACCACCGGAACAAACAAATCTAATCGACTACTCATGTGTTAGTTATTCATCTAACTTTTCTTCTTTTTTTTTCGTACTATTATCGTATTCTCTCAACGGATGAGATTTTTTTCTGGAATTCACTGGTCATTCTACATGACAATTTTTCTTTAATTTTTCATTCAATAGAGAGTTCCTTAATCACTAAACGATAGTCTTGTACATGCCTTTATCTTTTTGCATTTACGTACTTTAATGAATTCTTTTTTTTTCTTTTTTTTTCACATATTTTGCATGATCAACATCTGTCGTACTATCAATTACCATGTATTACATCATAATTCGTAAGATATTACACATAATATATAGATAATCATTAGTGTCGATTTTTTTTTTCACTCATTTTATTAAACGTTTTATTAATTTTCATAAAATATATGCATTACTCTGTCGGCGTGATTACGAGTGATTTCTCCAGTTATTCAATCTTTACTTAACTTCAATTTTTCCCGATTAAATTCTGTTTTGTTTATAGTACGGTATACAAATACATCGATACAGATATGATTTAATATCGGCATAGACATGCGCACTACTCGTAATACGTACGGTCCTTTGTGTAACGAGAGGCGATTGGAAAGGAATTTGCTTTTTATTACGATAAGAAGTGGAAGTTGAGAAGAAAATGTACAGAAAAAAGTTATTGTTAAATTTACCAATACGTTTAGTAATTGTGTAACGCATTGACTCTCAAGGAATTTCTATATTCAGAAAATAACGTTTTTTTTTTTGTAAAAATTCCACAAAAATATCATAATTTATATAAAAAACATTGCAATACTAATTTTATTTTAATTTTACAAAAGAATGAAAGTACAATTTTCTGGTAAAAATTACACTACAATATTCTAATTCTTACCAACAAAATTGGTTTTTTTATTTGCTTTCACGTGCACATGATAGTGAAAATGACGTTTTTTTTCCAAAATAAAAATTCCTTTCGAGCTGCGTAATTATTAACTGTCGGTGTAATTTTATCCAGGAATATTTTCCCGTGTGGCAGGTGAGGGGAGGGTCAGTGATTTTTCAAATCCTCAATAAAAAATTTGCAAAACGTGATTGGCCAATTCGCCCCGCCGATGGTTGACAGTACGCGCAGAATAAATAATTGCGTATTACTTAATTGAAAAACAAAAACTAACTAACCGTCATGATTTGATTTCCTGAGGGTCGACGGAGTTTATCATCCGTTTTGTAACCAGCAGCAGTCGTTTGCTTTCACATTATTTTGTTATTAATACGAGTACGGGAGCAATTTAATGCATACGCACGTGAATTTAATCGCTAACATGCATCGGAGGGTTGAGGATTCGCCGCGTTGATGATCTTTGATGAAAAATAGGAAAGCAAATTGATCTCCATCCACAGTTGATTAATCAAATAACTAAACATACATGCACATTATTTAAAGATATTACGAAATTCTACACATTACCCCGAATGTACGGAACATAACAAGCAAGAGAAATAAACTAAATAAATTCGATTACCCCGTGTCATCTCTTTTCACTCTCAACATTCGGTTAAAGTTAGAGGCGAAACTTAGAAACTTAGACGGAAAAACAATACACTGACGAAGTGCATTAATTGATTAGCCAATTTCTCAACACAATTAAAAAAGAAAAATTATTGAAAATGAACCGCAGCTTTAGACAGATCCCCGAATAAAAGAATAAATCAAGGTAATTAACCATTAAAATGACGATGAATTTACACAACCTATGTACAACTAGCCTCTCTGACCCTTGATTTTTAAATAAATTTCATTATCTCTATAATACACATAAGTACAAAGGGGCGATGGGCGCGTACTATTTAAAATCACGTCTTGCTCTTTAGCATTAGTACATACACCATGAAAAACCAGTTTGCTGGCTTTAGATTGGGATTTGACTTTCGCTCACCGATCGAACGCGAAAGGAAAAGTGACAAGAGAAGTTGGGGAGGGAGGAAAGGTTGATAATAAAGAAATAAACAAGGAAGGTGAAGAGTTGTTGTTTTCTCTGATAAAATAAATAGAGAGAAGGGGAGAGGCTGTACGCCATTTTTACGATTAATAGATTTGCTATAAAAGTCGACAAACGGGGTCACAAGCCGACATCGAACTGAAACCAGTAGATCGTGATTCCATTATTTTTTCTTTTTCTTACTCTGTATCTGTAACTCTTTAACATGCAACTATCCGTGGTTTTTGTGGTCATAAGTGTTTTTTTTTTAAACTCCATATCACACATCTATTTTCCTCTTCCCTCCTCTCTCTGTGAGATATCGGATTAAACTTGGCATGTTCTTATTTCTTTCTTATTTTCTTACCAATCCATTTGTATCGTGCTCGCATGGGTTGGTTCTCGGTATTAAATAATTACGGTATCTAATAAAGAAAGTTATGCAAGCGTTTCTACGGGAGACTAGGAGGTCTCTATAGGAAAGCTTGATTAACACACGCACGCCGTCTCACCGGATTTATTGTTTCACCTCCATGCACCATCGATGCATTAATTATGTTTTTTTTTGCTACGATTAATTATTTTTCCCTCTAGATTCCTTGTTTCATTTGAACGGTACTGTTCCGACATTTGCACTCTTTTTTTATCACTTGTGCTGGCTGTCATCAGCCACCGACGAAAGCTTTAGCTTTTTCTTCAGGCGAAGATGATTAGTTTGCGAATATATATCATGCCTTTTCAGAAAAAACTTATTTTTTCGACTTGGTTGGCTTTTCATTCTTTTGTATTTTTTTTCTTCTTTTGAGTTTGCTATTCAGATGCACGCGAATCACGTCTGTTTATCACTCATCACATGGTCGGAGTAGCACGCTAAATAGATTTGATTTTTTATGCATATCCCTGCACGTGAATGATTAATATTTTTCTCAGAAATAATTTTTTAGATTTTTCATTTTTTTTTTTAAATCATTCTTCAGTTAGTCTTACAACATAGATTCCCTAAATGAAATGTGATCACAGCCACACATTAATATATATATTTATCATTCTATTTATGTATTATGTAAAGCAATTCCTCGCCATCGAAAAAGATTTACTTCACTGAGTTAGGAAAAAACATTATTATCTCATAAATGCCGTATTTTTTAATTTTTTTTCTTCTTTCATAATTTTTTCAATTCTTCAATTTGTCTCCTTATAATTTACAGCGCGAAAAGAAAAAGACCTCATCTTTCATATAATTCTGAATACAACAGCGCAAATCTTCTCTTGGTCCAACCATTAAAACGTCTCTTGGCATACGAATTTTCTTGTATTTTATGCCGCTTGGTGCATGAGCAGTCGAGCAAACCAGATTAATAAAGACCGCTCCACGGAATGACGTGTTCATCTCTCCACATTAATTTTCATTGTTTAAAAATAAAGATTTTATCCTAATGGATGTCCATGATATTTCATTGCTTTGATAATATACATCGACCGAACATCCCCACACTTACTCGACATATTAATAAATTGTATTGTCCTTACTTTCATTTTATTTCACTACGTTGGACACTCCCGAATCTCCCCAATAATTAGGCACAGCACTAGTTTCCAAACGTTATCCCTCCTCGAAAACCAATAAGCATTCCGGCGTCTCGAAAGCATCATAAATTGAGTAGATTCCTCCGAAATAGAGGCAAAAGATGTAGATGAGAATTAAGAAAAAGAAAAAAAAAAGAGTCCGAGGGCACACGACACACGCGTCAAATGGGAAGGCTTGGCGGAGCCAATGGTCCTGGCACAGAACATTAACATCATCTTGACGAAATTCCTCCTCTCTGTGAATCTCTCACGAAAAATGAAGGATCGAGAGAAGAACAATCAAACGAATGAAAAACAAAAAGAGCAAGAAAGAACGATAATAATGGAAATTCAGTCGAGCTCGTACGATGGATAAGTTGAAAAATGGCGTGCGAGTGAGTGGTGTCAACTGCGTATCGGTAAACGACGGCAGTCGTCGTAGTCTTTGTCTCCGTCATCGTCGTTGACGACGTTGCCTTGATGATTCTGATAATTGTTATGGTAATAGTGGTGGTAATGGTGTATATGATGATGATGATAATGGTGATGTAGAGGATGATGGCTGTCACTGAGATCGTCACTGAGGCCATTGACTTGTCGACGGCATCGTATTGTTGATGTTAGTGTTGCTGAACAATCGCCAGTGCAATTGGACTGATTATCATTGAGGAAAGCACTGGCAGTGTCTCCAGCACAGAGTGTTGGTGTCGTTACGACGAGTGTATCACATCACGACGAGCAAGCCATCCAAGATGTACAGGTGCATGTGTAGCACGCTGTTGGTATGACTGGATAGTAGAAGCCAGCATTTGGATAACCATTGGCATAAACGTAAGTAGCTGGTGGGCCAGCTGGTGGTTGCTGGCTATTGAGTCGTTGTTGCTCCTGGCACAATACCTGAAAGGCAAGACTCTCTATGAGTGCAAGTGTCTGTCGTCTCTCGTGACCCATCAAACACACCGTCGACTCCTCAACAACACTGTGCAACAACATCAGGTACTGGTACTTGAGCGCCTCCTCCTCTGGTCCAACAAAATGATTCCACAGGTAATTTTCAAGCTTGGCTTGTTGCTGATTAATATCAGGAAAGTCTATGAAGAATCTCGAGCACATGTATCTCTCGAGTGTCTTTATGTAATCTGGTTGGGATGGTTTGTACATTTTAACCAGTAGATTGCAATATTTCAGCAATCCACCACCTCTTATCTCCTCAGGATGCCTCGTCGATATCAATTTCTTGTGTAAATGATAGAGTGCCTCTTGAAAATCACCGTACACAGATTCGCCAACAACTGTTGGGTAGAAATTTTCACCAATCGACAATTTGCTGCACTCGTAGAAGAGTAGTAACGAGTCAAGAACTATTTGAAATGAATCAACTGAGAATTCAAACTGTCGTCTCATTGTATCGACAAACTTGAGTTCAACATTTCTGTGGCCTCGTGAATTGCCCAACGATATGAGTGACCATCTGTCCCCATCATTGTTGACCTTCACCATTTTACTGACATAGGCTTCCTTGAGACTGCACGTTGTTATGCGTTTACGGCTAACACCCTCCGGCAAAAGATCAAAGAGCGATCCAAGTACAGCAGCTTTGATTTTATCATAATTACGTCCACTTCCCAATTCAACGGCAAATATGAGATCAAGATCATTGTACGGTTGTGATTCTGTTGCTAGTACATGGGACGCAGCACCGCCATTCAATCTAATGTCACGCACCCTCATACCAGCTCCACCATTGCTCGGATCCTCTTCCAATTTACTCCTTACAACAGTTACCAAGTCCCTCAGTCTCACCTCGAGCGTTGGAAAATTACCTCTTCCATGAATACTGACGACTTCATTCATAACATCATTTAGTCTTCGCACCTGTTCAAAACTCAAAACTGCCAACCTCTGTTGTGGATCACTCGGACAATCAGAACTATCCCTGTGACACTTGCTGCTGTTGTTCACACCACCACCACCACCGCCACCACCACCCCCACCGCCACCACCGCCAATTCCACTTGTTGCATTATTGTTGTTATTGTCATTTTTTATACAATTCTTGGTGCTGTTCTTTATGCTCTTGGTGGCATTAATCTGGCACAGAGACTCCATCATCGCCACCCGTTGTAGGCGTTCCTCGCCAATGTCCAGGGAGCCACACTGCAACATAACAAAACCATATTCATCAAATTATTATTCATCAAACACATGTTCTCTCATCATTTATTCACAACACTCCGGGCACTCCGCACTCTCAATAAGCAGCCCATTAATAACAGATGGGGGGAAAAAATACTATTGAGGAAAATCAAGTGGAAGAAAATACACTGCGAAATAATCTCCCAACGATTTGCAATCAACTACCGACGTAATAATACCGAAACGTGTAAATAACTTTCACTCTTGAGTTACTCCGTTGATCTAAATCGCGAATACATATATATATATATATATATATATCAGGTAAAACGTGACATCGGGTGGAGGATAATCACCAGGAGTGGCGCTTCGGCCGATTCTCCCGGATCAATCATCCAGCATATCTTTTCATTTCCGCCATCTCCAATTGGGTAACAAAAGTTCAATGAAATAATAAGAGCTTTGAACAATATATACATAGATATATATATATATATATATATGAGGCAGGAGATAAGAGGACCAACAAGTAGTTTAAGAGCAACCAGCTGTTACTCCATTCTAATCCCCCCGTACCCAGGAAACAACACATACCACTATTTATCTGCGGTGTTACGAGTGATGTATCAACTTGACAGGATATTTATCACGTGTTGATAAGCCCCGGAAGACCTGTCCAACGACAACTTGATAAAAACACAAGAGTTGAATGAGCACCGAGTACTCCGAGTACTCCGGGAGTCAATGCTGAACTGAGGATAGTGAAAGGCTTGGAGGCAAACACTGGACTGCCGTCACTCCGATGAAGGACGTCAGAGAGAAAAGGATGGAGGCTATGAGGCTATGAGGAAGGAATGGAGGGGAGCAGGCCAGAAGGCTGTGGATGGTTCTGGTAAACCGGAGAACAGCGCAGAAGCTCGATTAAATAAAGGCAAAGGGGATGATGATAGTACAAACTACCAATACAACCCTCCAGCATCTATTTCCAGATACGACATGTTGGTACATAGCTATGTTACCAAGAGGCAGATCTGCGCCAACTCCGGCATTCAATGACGTCATGGTCTCGGTGGAGAGGGCAAATGCGTGGGTGATGTTGAATGAATGGGGCTGACTGGAAAGGGTGGGTTACGTTTTCAGCGTGGGCGATCAAACCAGACGACTTTAGCCAGGGGATTGAAAATTTTTACACATCCAGAGCTTTCCTTCCTACGTTTACTTATGACCAGCGAGAAATTCTCTATCATCTGGCTCGTGAGGGAGATGAAACAACTGTGGGAGGAAACTAGTTACGAGATGTATCGATCGAGACACTCTGTCGCCATTAAATCATACCAGTCGCCACTTCCGGGGTTGTTATTTCAGGTCGTGGTGTGATGGCCTTTTTTTACTCAAGCACTTGTATTCGTTACGTGTTACTTGTTACTTGTAGCGAGAGATTTGGCAATTCAAAATTACCAACACTCATAGAGGAATATAGAAAAATTATAGAACAGGTCGAACACTTTAACAAGAAAAAAATCGAATGCTTTGGATATTTTTTTTAAATATTTGAAAAAAACCGGATTTAGCAAAACTTTGGCTTGTAGTTGGTCCCAAGTTACAACAATAAACTGATGAAATTTCAAATTATTCCGAATGATTTGGCACGTTTATTCGTTAACTTTAAAAAAAGTGAACACCGATTGGGTATGGTTGCGACTGACGTGGGTCTGAAACGTCAAATGATAAGCATATATAATGTGTTTTTTCTGGCGAGAAAACGAGTTCTTTTTCATGATGAAAGAATAATTGATTAAGCGATCAATTGATGAAAAAATTTTGCAAGTTTTAAAAATATTTGAATGTTCGCAGTTTTGTTAAGAAATTTGCACTGATAAAGGATTGAAGAAGAAGTAGAAGAAAAATCTTTGCTGGAATAGTTATCCACTAGATCAATATTTCAGTAGTTAGTCTTATTAATCGATAATTTAGATGAATTAAACAGTTAATAAGTGAATGAAATCGGAATGAAAATGGAATTTTCCGAAAATGTATCGAGTCTGAATGAAATGGAGAAAATAGTCTTATAAAAGTGATGGAGACAGTAATTTTTGTTTACGACCTAGAGGCGGTATTTAGCATAAAGCCACTCCATGGTTATCACCGTGTGATTTATTCTAGGTGAAATAAGTCAACTGGAAGTAGGTGTCATCCCATGGTAACGATGGAGAGGCGCCTGTGCGACCGACATCTCACTGAAACATTTCATCTTTGTTGCGTGCCCCATCGCCATGCGAGACTGAACTCCAACCACTCAAACTGAATTTATTGTTTCGTTGTGGCAAGTGTCTGTACAACAAGTACAATCCGGTGGCTATCCTCATTTGTAATATTACGACATTACAAAAATACACCGGTGGAATCATCACGCGATGCGAGCATAAATATTCATAATTCTGTGTCCACAACTCTATGGGTTTTTCCTTTTTCATCCCATTGTTATTGCTTTATTTTTGCTTTATAAATACATCTGTCATAACAATGGATTGAAGATGTAGCGTGACAATTAGCAAGAATTCAACTCCAAGAAAAAAAGTTTGTGTTGAAGACATGAAGACGCTGTGGGACTGTCCACATGACGGCAATCGAGAAATTTACCTGTGGTAATTATGACCGTGCGATACATACGAGGAAAAGTTCGTCTTCTTTTACTGATGAATTTTTCATCAGTCAAAGAATACGGAAAATCAATTGAGAGGTTCTTTTATCCGATTATCCAAGGTCAATTGTCTAGTGCACACAAGGTCACATCGATTGTGAGTAATGTGATGTTTACATGAATTAAAAACAGGAAAAAATAAAGACAAAATGGTGGAGAAGAAGTAATTACCGATGTGGCACGGATTTTTTTCCGTTCGATGTGATTTTTTTTTCAAATGACCCATTTTCGTTGGTTTAGATGCAAGATTGATGGCACAATATGTCGTACTGTGGAGTTTATGGAGGATATAAGCTGCCTTGTAGGCTATAGATAAGTGCAGTATCAGGTGGCGACGGGGGGAAATGAAGAGGATGTTTAAATAATCAATGAAACATCGGAGGTTGAATTATTTAGGAGACATCCACTTGGGTCTTAGAGTCAGACACTTGTTATGCATTCTCAGGTGAAAGACGCCTGTAAACGGTCTTATATCCAGAGCTTTAGTCCTACTTTATTCTGTGACAAAATTAATCTCCTATTTTTCAGAGAAAACAGATTGGAAAGTTAGGGAAATATGACAAGTTTTTATCTAAATTGGTACAGTAACAATTAAGATTGTTGAATGTTTTTCTTTCAACATAGGATGACTGTCTCAAATCATCAGCGTATTGTTGAAAATCATTTAATTATCATCACATTAAATTAAATTATTAATTGATGGTTTCGTTTTTAAAATATATATTTTTTTAATGTCCACGGACGTAATGAATATAAGTCAAAAACATTCTTGAAGGACAGCTAATGCAAATTTTGAGCCTATTCAGGAATGTACATTATTACAAACCAAGTTTTTTCAGAATTATTCACATTGTTTTAGGTATTTTTCGAAAATCTCACTTGAATGACAATCTATCAATCGACTAATTGCTACAAAAAGAGAATAGATTAAAAATATATCATAATTTTGAAAATTGTGAATGGAATCTGTTTTATTGGGTGTTACATTACCCCAGCCCCCTACATTTTCTGGTCATTTTTTAATTAAAAAATGTGATTATTTTGCTGAATTATTAACGAAATGATAATTTTCAAGCTGACTTAAGAAGGAAATTACTGGAGTTATTCTAATTTCTTTAAATTTAATAATTTTAATCTTGATTGAATAGAATTGTAATTTAATTAATCGACTTGATTATATAGTGTTTGTAATAATGATTTATTTATAATATAATAATATTTTTTATTTAGGTTTGTAATAGTTATTTTTTCGAATTAGTTATTTTTGTGGGCGTGGTTTAGAATTGTTTAGAATGTTAGAGAGGTTCGGAACGAACGATGATTGTGTTTGCATTTCCGAAAGATGAGGATCTCCATTTGTTCTAATTATCGCATATTGCGCGTCTGTTTTTGCAGGTTTTTGATTATTCGTTATTCATGACGAATGGGAAGCATGTGTGCAATTGCAATATATTTTCATTTATCCGAAATGGAGGAACAGAGTACCAAAAGTAATTCGTTCGAAATAACTTTTATAACCCGTCAACGTCCAGGGACAGAACAATAAGAATGAAGGGTTGATTAGTAATTTAAAAAATATGTATTCTTAAAAAGTAATAGAAATATTTTTAGGAATCAGGAAAGTTTCTTCTGATACTCAGGATTGTATTGCTAACTTAGCGTTTTGTTTTCTCGTACGAGTTTTAAGAAGTGTTAGTTATAATACCGGTCCGTGAAAATAAAAATTGTTTTTCTTTGGGAGGAAGAAATTTCCGGAAGCTTCTCGACACCGAAGAGTGAAAACGTGATGCGGTTTCTGTCGTTTCACAAACCGGAAAAACTTGCTTTCGTCGACGTCCCAGGTAACCCAAACAGCAAAAAAAAGATGGCACACGCGTCATGTGTACTTGGGTCATTCACCGCTATTTTTCTTCTTATTTATTTATTTTTTTTTTTTTCATTAAACACGAAGTGCTTTCAGAGTGAAAAAATGCAATTACGGTGCGTCATGCATTGAGGAATAACAAGAGAAACATCTGCACGTGGAATCGGAGTGAAAGGTAAATGAATGTACTAAAGAGAGAAACACCAGTTTGGCCCCTAGTGGAAAGTCAGAAAAAGCGGCGAAATTTGAAAGAAAAGGGAAGTAATGAAAACGCTATTGAGAACAAAAATGGAACGGTCTCGTTGACCTCATCCCACGGTTCAACACGCAATGTGCATCTATTATGTTCTTTTTACCTTTTATTTGTGTCTATCGTATTAAATAAAAAATTTTAATCCTCTGGTTGAAATGACGAGAAGAATTATTACTAAGTTGTTATTTTATGAAATTACACCT